TTTTTTTTAATTTTATTTATTTATGTGTGGCCAGCTCAGCCCACCAGGGGGCGGGGCTGGCTGGCATGTGGTGCTGGGGGATTGAACTGTGGTCCCTGTGATTTGCTAAGCTTGTTCTAAGTAGGTGCTTTAGACCACTGAGCCATCTCACCAGCCCAATAGTTCTTATAAGAAAAAACATAGGGCCGGGAGTGGTGGTACAGGACTGTAATACCACTACTCAGGAAGCTGAAGCAGGAGGATCATGGTGAGTTCGAGACCAGCCTTGGCTACAAAGTGAGCTTAAATCCACCCTGAGCTGCACTGTGAGGCTCTATCTATCTATCTATCTATCTATCTATCTATCTATCTATCTATCGCCTAGATTCTTTCTCTTTACTTGACAATTTTCGAAATGAATTGGTTTCCTAGAACTTTCCAGTGGTGAAAAGACAAGTAAAGTATACTGTTTTAGAATTTTTTTATAATGCTACCTAACATTTTTCTTTTTTATTCCTCCCTCAGGATTGCTTTGGCTATTCAGAGTCTTTTCTGTTCCATATGATATTTAGGGTTATAGTTCTAGTTCTGTGAAGAGTTTCGTATTTTAATCAGTGTTGTATTGAGCCTGAAAGTCACTTTTGGCAATATGGCTATTTTCACAGCGAATTTTTCCAGTCCATGAACAAAGGAGCTTTTCCCACTTTCTAGCGTCTTCTTTTAAGTTGCTCTCCGCAGCTTCCTGCCATTTTCGTTGCAGAGGTCTTTCACATCTTTGGTAATGGTGGACTCCTTGGGAATTCATTTTTTTGAAGCTATTTTCCTTTTTGTTTATTTTTAGTGTAATTTTTATAATTTTCAGATATTCATATATTTTAGAATTTGGATCTATTCATGAATTCAAACATATTTGATGCATTTGGCAGAGTAAGAGCCTCAGAATGGCTGACAGATCCCAGGCCATCTTAAATTCCCATCAGCCCTTTCTACAGAAATGGAGAGGCCAATTTTAAGGAACTGCAGGGGACCCTGAAAGCCTAAGTGATCTTGGAAAAGGATGAAGTAGGAGGACTCATACTTCTTGATCTCAAAACTTATTACATATTATACACTCCCAGTCATCAAGACTGGACTGACACAAGACCAGCGGAACAGAACTAAGGGCAAAGGGGGCTTAGCCTTTGAGACCCTTCCTGTCTCTCAGGACTTATTCCCCCATCCCTATACCCATTCCTTTTCTCCAATAAATTTTCCTAATCTAAAAAGAAAAAAAAACGAGGGTTAAGGAATACACCCAAACACTTATGACTAAGTGACTAATAATCCATCAGGGGCTGGTGAGATAGCTCAGAGGTCTAAAGCTTAGGCAAGCTTAGGCAAATGTGCAGGGACTGCAGTTCAATCCCTGGCACCACATGCCATGCCAGCCTCAACCCCAGGGTGGACTAAGCCAGCCACACACACACACACACACACACACACATCAATCAGGAACTGGGGAGATAGATCAGCAGTCTAAGCGCCTGCCTGGCAAGCACAAGGATCTGAGTTCAATCCCCAGCACCACATGCCATGCCAGCCCCAGAACCCTGGGCACCCAGGGCCAGCCTCAAAACCAAGTGTGGTGGCACATGTCTATAATCCCAGTGCTGGGAAGGCTCAGACAGGAGAACCACTGCAAATCTGAGCTGGATAGTGAGACCCTGTAACAAATAAGTAAATAAATAATTTTTTAAATTATTATTTATTTATTTATTTATTTGGTGGAACCAGGGATTGAACTCAGACCCTTGTGCTTGCCAGGGAAGCGCTTATTCTACTGAGCCGCCTCCCTCGCCCCAATAAATAAATATTTTTTAAAAATACAATTAACCAGGAAAGACAGTCTCTTCCCAAAATGGTGCTGGGAAACAGAATATTCACATGCAAATAAATGGTACTGCATAACATATACAATTACCCAAAAAGGATCAGACACCTAAATTTAAAAGCAAAAGTCATAAGACTCTTAAAAGAAAATATGGGGCTGGGGAAACGGCTCAGTGGAATAAGTGCTTCCCTGGCAAGCACAAGGGCCTGAGTTCAATCCCTGGTTCTGAAAAAAAAAAAATAGGAAGAAGGAGAAGAAGAAGAAATAGAGATAAATCTTCATGATTTCAGGCTTAGTGATTTGACATCAGAAAATATACATTTGATTTCATCAAAATTAAAAAATTTCATGCTTTGAATCCAAGCTGGTTTTGAATTTGCAGCGATCCTCCTGCCTCAGCCTCCCTCAAGTGCTAGATTACAAATATTTATTCTGCTTATTTTCTGTCATTTAATAATAAGCCCAAATAAGTACAACACAAAAGTTTCTGAAAAATCTGCATAAAGATCCAAATTCAGTAAAATAAACTCTCTGTTAACATGTTTCAGAAAATTATCTTTTAAAACTTTGTGGCATATTTTTCTATAATGAAAACAGGGACCAGGGAGATGGTTCAGTAGAATAAGCGCTTGCCTGGCAAGTGCAAGGGCCTGAGTTCAATCCCTGGTTCCACAAAAAAGAGAAAAAGAAAAAGAAAGAAAAAAAGAAAACAGTAGCTTGTCTAATTAATTTTTTTTCTTTTTTTTTTTTTTTTAATTTTTCCTTTTTTTTTTTCTTTTTTTTTTTTATGGTCAGCTCAGCCCACCCTGGGGGCGGGGCTGGCATGGCATGTGGTGCTGGGGATCGAACCGAGGTCCCTGCATGACTGCCTAAGCAGGCGCTTTAGACCACTGAGCTATCTCGCCAGCCCCTCTAATTAAAATTTCTTATCAGTTCATGTATTTTAAATTTAATTTTCCTTTAAGTAGAAAGAATCCACTTTTAATGCCATGAAGAACTGTTCCCGCCCATCTTAATAATTTTTCACATTATCATGTATGGGCATCTAAATTCCTATTTTTGAATATCTTTTTCCATGTCTATTTTAACTTCTTATTTATAACTTATAAGCATCTTGGTGCTTCCGGGTAATAACCTAGATAGGAGCCCAACTGGGCAGATGTAGATATTTAAGTGTTTGTTAAATTTGTCCCTTTTGTCCTTCTGAGAAGTTAGGTAAGAGCATGACTTTCCTCACAGAGATAGACAGTGTAGCTCATTACTGTCAAATTGATATTAGTAAAGATTGAATATTTAGTAAAGAGGACACAAACTGCTATTTTCCTTCTTACTGTCCTGTTTTTCTTGTTTTTAATTTTTTATTCTTTCAATACAGGGTCTTGCTACACAGTAAAGACTTGTAGGGATCCTGCTGTCTCAGCCCCAGCCTCCCCAGAGCTGGGATCACAGCAGGCGTCACTATACCCATTTCCAAGCTGGCATGGCATGTGGCACCTGGGATCGTACTTGGGACCTTGCACTTGCCAGGGAGGTGCTTAGACCTCTGAGCTATCTTCCCAGTCCCTAGTTGTTCCCTTGTACTAGTCACTAGCAACTATGGATATATTTTTAAAGGGTTGAGGGGCCAGGGAGATGGCTCAGTGGAATAAGTGCTTCCCTGGCAAGCGCAAGGGCCTGAGTTCAATCCCCGGTTCCACAAAATAAATAAATAAATAAATAAATAAATAAATAAATAAGGATTGAATGTATGCAATGTGTTAATTATTGAAACTGTCCTACCAATTTGATTTGAAACTGTCTCATTGCTATTTGTTTCTCAATAAAATTATGGAAAAAAAAAAAAAAAAAAACAGGTGAAGCCCTGGGTCGTTCTCTTGGTTCCAGAAAGCCATTTTCATGGCTGGACTTAGAGCCCCTTGATTCCCCAATGATTGAAAAAAAAAAGGATTGAAAAATAAAGTTTAAAGCAATGTTCGCGTGCTCGCTTCGGCAGCACATATACTAAAATTGGAACGATACAGAGAAGATTAGCATGGCCCCTGCGCAAGGATGACATGCAAATTCGTGAAGCGTAAAGCAATGTTCACTTAAAATTAGATTTTTGAGGGCCAGCCAGATAGCTCAGTGGATTAAAGTGCCTGCTGGCAGACATGGGACCGGGGGAAGTGGATCCCCAGCCTGCCTGCTGGCCCCACCCCCCGGGCAAACTGAGACAGCAATTGAGACTGGGCTTGGTAGCATGTGCCAGTAATCCCAGAGTTTGGGAGGCTGAAAAACGAAGGATCACTATAAATCCAATCTGTGTGGTGAGACCCTGTAGACACTGGACTAAATACATTTTTAAGAAAAAATTTAGATTTTTTAAATCCTCACTTGTCTAACTACACCTTTGAATCTTTTGGCAAAAGTTAAGCAAACATTGGCTGTGTGGGTTATAGATTTGGGGTCTGTTTTTTTCTTTGGGATTCTATGTCACTAATTTCTTGCAGAAACTGGTGACCAAAGCCCAAGGCCTTGAGCATATCCCTGAGCCCCAGAACCCCAAGGCATACTGTTATTGTTTGTGTCTAGCTGTCCCCACAAAGCCTCATGCAGTCACGGGACGGACTTCTAGAGTTTGTGATTAACTCATGATCCGCTGGGATTACGGATGTGAGTGCTTCTGGGATTATGGGCGTGAGTGCTACACCCAGCCTGGGGCTGATAGCCTGGATGCAACATAAGAGAGACAGACTTGCTCTCTGTGGTCACCGTTGCTGCTGCTCCTCCCATCTGCTCTTGCTGTTTTGCTGCCTTCCGCCACCATGAGCTGCTGCCCTCTGCCACGTGCCGCTCTGCCTTGGAGCCAGCTGAGTATGGACTGAAGCCTCCAGTAAGTGAGCTAAATAATAAACCTTTCCTTCCTTCATTTTGGTGTCAGGTATTTGTCCCAGCAATGAAAGGAGAGTAAGTGAGACATATACCATCAACTCCGACTTTAGAATTAAATAGAAATCGGGCCGGAGAGACGCTCAGTGGCATAAGCACCTGCCTGTCTGCATTCTCATCTTGGATGAGCCATTAGACTTCGGAAGCTTTACATTCCTCGGCCACATGAAGAAGAAAACATCCACCTCCTAGCAGTACTGTTAGGAGCCAAGGAAACGCAGTAAATATGTAAAGCGCTGAGCACACTGCTGCTCTTTGCTCTTCCGAGAGCCGAAGCCACAGCTGGGTGATCTTTGTGCTTACCTGGGTGCTGAGTGTCCACTCACATTTCTGTTTTCTTTCATATAT